ATTTTTTGATTTATTGTAGAGATGAGGTCTCGCTGCCCAGGCGGGTCTCGAACCCGTGGGCTCAGGCAGTCCACTAACCTCAGCTTCCCAAAGGTGCGAGATTACAGGCTGAGCCACTGAGCCCGGCTATAAGATCTTTTAATGTGTTAAATTTGGGAGATGATGTGGATAGAATTTTAGCATTCTCGCTTTGATGTACTTCTACCACTTTGGGCCTCTTATTTAGTAATTCTAATCCCATCTTTATCAGGCTCTCTCTACGTTTCTGTGCTCCTGCTCTTATTCCTAGAGCAGTACTGTGCAGCACAGGAGCCACGTGGCTTAGTGGTGTAGGCCTCACTTCTCACATGCTGTTCTCACGGAGAGCCTCGTGGTACTGCCCCCGACGAGCTCTGTGGTGACAGTGACAGTGACTGGCGAAGGCAGTGACAGAGGCTCGCCTGTGGCCCCTTCCTGTTGTGGATGTCAGCGTGCTCGCTTGGCACACCTAATCCTGCTGACATCACTTGGGGTAGAACGTTTTAGATAACACCTCAGACTTTAAAATGGCCTGCTGGGATGATGGAAAAGGTGTGATTAAATGCCTCGTTTGTGGTTGGTGCTCAGTAATCGTTGAAAATTTTGTGATGTAGTAAATATTTTGAATGTTGACTGACTCAGTGCCTTTGCGGGTAAGTTAACAACTGGACTAGCCGGGCTCGATGGCTCAGCCTGTAATCCCAGCAACTTTGAGAGGCTGAGGTGAGTGGATTACCTGAGCCCGCAGGTTCGAGACCTGCCTGGGCAACTTGGTGAGACCTCATCTCTACCATAAATCAAAAATTAGCTGGGCGTGGTAGTGCACACCTGTAGCTCCAGCTACTTGTAAGACTGAGGCGGAAGGATCGTGGGAGCCCAGCAGGTTGAGGCCGTGGTGGCTGGGAGCGGCCACTGCACGCCAGTCTGGGTGACAGAGTGAGACTCCAACTCAAACAAACAAAAATGAGTTAATGAGTCTATTAACAGCCATCTGTAATCAAGACCATCCTTGGGTGAGGTTTTCTCTTACTGATTTTTAAAAAATTAAACCTAGTAAATATAAATAGTGCAGCCTGATTTTCAGGTGTTTCGTGAACACGAGTTTTCAGTATTTATTTCCTGTTACTGGAGTCATGTGTGCTAGTCATTAATTATTTATTTATTTTGAGTTGTGGCCTCACCCTGTCACCCAGGCTGGAGTGCATGGCATGATCACAGCTCACCACAGCCCTGAATTCCAGGGCTCAAGTGATCATTTTACCTCAGCCTCCTGAGTAGTGACTACAGGTGCTTGCCACCATGCCCAGCTAATATTTTGAGTTTTTTGTAGAGGTGAGATTTTACTGTGTTGCCTAGGCTGGCCTCGAACTCCTGGGTTCAAGCAATCCTCCTGCCTCAGTCTCCCAAAGTGCTAGGATTACAGGCATGAGTAACCACATCTGACCAGAGCTGTGAGTAACCACATCTGACCAGAGCTGTGTGTGCTTTTAGACTAGTCTTTGAACCTGCTGTGGACTGTTTGAAATGGTTACTGCAGGTGATTTTGGGGGTTGGGGCTTGGGGTGCAGTGACAGTTCATGTGAGAGAGAGTTGAAGTAAACCTTTAAACGAGAGCTGATCCATAAAATGATATGGCAGTGCTTACCTTTTAACTCTAGTAGGTTTTGTTATGAAGCGTTGCCTGTTGTTTTGCAAACTGCTTTGCTAGTTGTTGTGCTGACTCCATTTTATTTTTGTCTTACTATTTGCTTTATTGATCAAACTAAGAATGGAAGCAAGCAAGTGAATTTGATTTGTTATGATTCTTGTCTTTAATTGGCCCCTGGAAGTAAGGGAGGATACCAGCACATGCTTCTTCCTACAGTCTGCAGCAAGGCTGGTGCCACCAGCCACAGGACTGACCTTGGAGCCCACGGGGGTGACAGAATGTGCCACTGAGGCAGAGGCGTAAGGCGTCTGTCTCCCCAGAGCTCACTCTGCCTGCCTGGAAACACTACTTTAGAACTTTATTAAGAAAGAGCGGCCCGGGCTTGCTCCTGCCCCCGACACACTGGGGTGCTCACATCCTTGTGGGCATGTGAAGAGGAGAACACTTGAGTGTTGAATTAACTGGAGCTTTTCTGCCTCCGGAGACTGTTTCTCTGGGATGAGACCATGGCGTATTAAATACTGATGTGTGCTTCTCAGTCCGGGGGCTCTGAGAACATGTGTGTCTTTGTTTTATCTTACGTGTTCCTTCCTTTGCACCGTGGCCTGTCTCAGGCCCTTCTGTGCTCTTAGCATGAGGCCCCCAGGGAGGTGCTGATGGGGCTCTGGGGTGCTGGAGTGAGACCCCACCTTTAGACCTCTTTCATCTTTCATGGATGGAATTCTCTCATTTTCTTAATGTAAGACACAGATTATGCTTTTGGCTAAGTCTTTAAAGGCCAACTGTAAATGTATTACTACTTGGTATTGATAAACTTTGCTCTTGTTAATCTCTGGTGCTAAGCCATACTGTGTAATTTCATCTGTACAGTATTTTTGTTTCATTATATACTTTCAGAGGAGAAAAGAAAACTGAGTTTAAGTGGCCAGAAATATGCTTTAATGCCATACTGATCTAATAACAGGATCGAAAGTGTGGCCAAGTTTAATTGTAACTCGAGCATGTTTTCTCTTTTATCCACTAGACTTCATGAGGAAATAATTGACTTTTATAACTTCATGTCCCCTTGTCCTGAAGAAGCATCCATGAGAAGAGAGGTGGTGAAACGGATTGAAACTGTGGTTAAAGATCTCTGGCCGACGGCTGATGTGAGTGTTTTTTGTACTTCTGGGCTATACGTCTCCTGCGAGTAAACTTAAGCACCCTGTGATTCTGGTGAGTTCGCTGGGTCCACATAGACCTGTGTTTCTCATTGTCTCAAGGCAGCGGGCTCCAGGAGTGGTTTTGGGAAGGGTGGCATTACCTGGAAGCTTGTTAGAAATGCACATCCCGGGCCCACCCTGTGCCTGCTGCCTGGCACCAGATACCCTGCGGCGGGACCAGCCCTGCGGCGGGACCAGCCCTCTGTACCGTTCTGGTGCATGCTCTAGTGTGAGGGCCGTTGACTGAGGGATTGCCTTTTCTTTTCTTTTTTTGAATGATGTGATTTTTTACTTCAAATTCACTCTAAGGTTAGAAATTTCATCCCCATATCCCACCTTCACTTCCCCGCCCCCACACATGGTTGCATATGACATGTGCTTGTCTTGTAAAACTTGGAAGTATTTCCGTACACACCACTTAACACAGTGAATGTACACGTGTTTAGTGAGATGAGGGGCTGGGCATTGCAGAATGCTTGGGGCAGGCAGCCCAAAACATGCCCTTTGACCCACTTGCTTGCTGCCCTCAGGCTGCCTGTTGTAATCTGTAGCCTTCCCTGCTGAGGACCAGGCTGGCTGCCCGGCTGTGACGGGCACGTGTGCTCTCAGTGGGCAAGGGCGGTGATCAGTTTCCTCTCTTTAATATGATAGATGTTTTGGCTTTGAAATTCAGTGCCCTAGGACAGTGCCTTTCCCTGGGCACCTCAGTTGTGGGTTTAAGAAATTGTTTGTGAGTGGAGGGTTGAAACTCGCTCAGAAAAGTCCTCAACTTTAAGTGGGTATGGAGTGAGGACAATAATTATTTCATTTCTTTTTGTTTTTTTGAGTTTAAAAAAAATCCTTTTGGGAGCATGGTTTAATTTAAAGGGCATTTTCTGGTTGATTGCTGGATTTTTGCCTCCCTTCACCCCCGCTTCCAAGGGTGCGGTGAGGAATCGTGTTTAGTAAGAAGTAATGGAAGTGTGACTGCTTGCATTGTGGTGCACAGTTTAAGACACTCACTCTTTCTTGCAGGTGCAGATATTTGGCAGCTTTAGTACAGGTCTCTATCTTCCAACCAGGTGAGTACCAGACTGTGCTGTGCAGATTAGGGTTGATGCTCATTTGGGAGCGGGGATGATGTCTGCACATGAAGGGCCAGAAGTGGATTCTTTGTAATGAGCCTGAGACTGGAAATGCCAGCGAAGGGAAAACACTGGGAGCACAGAGGAAAAGCTGCAGAAAGTGAAATTTAATGTGGTATCAGAATGAATTCAGTGCTTTGCATTTTTCTTCTCACACTTAAATTGTTGGGTGCAAAAATGCTGAATACTGGACGCGAAGATGAATGAGAGGACCCGGGAAAGTAAATGCAGTAGAAAATGCTTTGCTGATATTTGGGGGTGTGTTTTTGAAAAATTGATCTTATGTTTCAATGAAGATTAAAGCAAAATTCTCAACAGTATTTTCTAAGAACGTATATCGGATAGGAAAATGTCAAACAAGTTGGCATTGTTTTCAATAGTATTTTCTTAAGGACGCTTGATATCCAAATAAATTTGTGTGAGTTTCATCAAAAGTTTATCTTCTTTTAATCACATAGCCTTTGTGTAGAGGCTGAAGAGGCTAGAATCTCAGGATGTGGGGTCTGGTGTTGGTAGGGACAGATGGTCATTGAACAGATTTAAGGTGTTTGGGCATCCCTGGCCCAGCAGGAGAGATCAGGGCAGGGAACACCAGCGGGAGTGGCAAGGCATGGGGCCTCCGCCTTGTGGGAGGGCAGACGTTTCATCTGTGTCCCTTCAGTTACCTGGTGCTCCTGGGATAATCGTCTAACTTTCTTGCTTTCCATCTTACATGACAAGTAAGTCCTCACTTAATTTTGTCAATAGGTTCTTGGAAACTGACTTCACACGAAACCATGAACAGCAGGTTCTTAAACAGTGAATGCCGTTTTGTTACAATGTTGATGAAAAAGAGCCAGTTTTGTTATACATTGTTTTGCCTGAACCACAGTTTCCAAAAGCCTGTCTAGGACCTGCTGGGACAACCTGCTGTAGTTGGTGGTCTGCATTCTACCTCCCCAGGGGTGATAGCTTGATGGGATCATGTCCTAGCCTTTGGAGGAGACACAGGCACCTGTGTCTGGCGCTGTCCTCCACCTGGCTTGTCCCCTTGTGGTGAGTGCCGTAGTGGTTGACAGGCACACTTTCTTCTCCAGTGACATCGATCTGGTGGTGTTTGGCAAATGGGAGCGGCCTCCTTTACAGCTGCTGGAGCAAGCCCTGCGGAAGCACAATGTGGCCGAGCCGTGCTCCATCAAAGTCCTCGACAAAGCTACGGTGAGTGCCAGGCACAGCCTTGCCCATGCATGGGTGCCTCACTAGTGGGCCAACATGCAGTAGTAGCCTGCGTGACCATCTCATGTTGTTTTATGGCAGTTATTGCTGCATTTGTGAAGACTTCTCTACTTCTGGTACAAACATGCCTTTGCATTTTTGTTGTATAGTCATAGTTACCAGCTGAGAGTGCATTTCGTGATGATTTGAACGATTGCAGTTTGTGAACTCATCAAACTGTTCTTGGCACTAAAATGTATGATGGTGTCTACTTGTGTGTAGATGAATAAGGACAGGAGATCAGTGTCTGAAACGAGGTCTGTATGTACATCCAGGTGCTGCTTGTTCTGGAGTGTGAAGCTCAGCAAGCAACTTTGGCATTTTTGATGACCCTTTGCTAATTTGTGTTCAAGAAAGAAAAAATTACTGTTCCTTTTGTCATCATAAAAAAGGTCCCTATGTGAAAGACCTCTTACTCTGGTGAGAAGTTTGAGGGCGAGGCTGTTTCTGCTGCATACTTGGGGTTTATGTCAGTCCAAGATTTGAAGTGGCTTGAGAATGATGAGTTACCTGCCTGCTTGGTGACAATTCTTAGCTCACCTCTGCAATAGGCCAGCCTTTCCTGTCTGAGCTGGTGTTTTAGCCCCGTGAAGTGTGTAACATCCTTGTGGTGTTGGAGGAGATTGCTAGAGCTAGGCTGGGAGCTTCGTCCTGCTTGGTGGTAAAACAGTGAGGGGCAGCCTCGTATTTCCTGTCTCTACTCTGTATCCAGTGCTTTTGACTGGGGCTGCGGGGGAGATGTAAAAAATGATATGACTGAAGAATGAGTGCCCGTGAGGTAGACATCTTGATGAATTTTGATGAGATGCCCACACCTACATCATTGGCATGTGGGCTGGAGAAAGTGGTCCAGCACCCGCTAGCTCCCTCACAGCCCCTGTCCAAGGTGGGATCACCTGCTCTCTTGATGTCTAGCCTCAGAGAGGCACTCTGGCCATTTTCTAAATGGCTTACAGGCCTTTTTGCGCTCAGCCCCCACCTAGTCAGTCTCATTGCAGACACTGCTGTTGTTCACATTTTACAGGCGAGGAAACAGAGGCATGGAGAGGTGAGGTAATTAGGCCAGGCAGGTTAACGGCAGTAGGAGGCAGCTCCTGCCCAGGTTTTCACTGTGGATGTGGGTTCTGGGCCACAAACCCCTATCCCCGCCACTCCTCTGTGTGCCATGGCACTCTAGGCCTCCCAAGGCCCTCCAGCCACTTGTGTGTGTCAGCCCATGGAAACAAGACTGTCTGGACAGCAGCAAGGTGGTTGAGGATATCTGACTGGGTATCACTGTTCAGATGTTCAGGAGCTAGAGAGGTTGTGCCTGGTTGTTCTACGTCCCAGAACATTCTCGGCTAGAGGATGGACAGTTGGATGAATAGCTGTTGCAATAACTGCTTAGTCTTAGTGGCCTCCTTACTGTCACATGTTGGTCACTAAGTGCCTTTTCCTCTATTGCCTCGGGGCCAGTGTAGGCGAAGGATAGCCAGGAGTTGCTCCACCACCTTTGTTCTTTGCATGGATGACAGAGTTGCCCAGGGTAGGCTTCTCTCTGTGTGCATCCTCACCTGGGTGCCCGTGGCCTCCAGAGGCTGGGGCTGAGGCCTGTGTTTAGAGCTGGTCTGTTTGAAACAACAACCTCAAAATAAGTACTGGAACGTTACTACTGAGTTCCAGAATTTGGGGGTTTGTGCTGTGATTGTACAGTGTGTGTGCAGGCATAAGGCAGGAGAGTGCTGGGAGGAAGTCCATGAGTATGAAAATAGCTGCTCCCTAGGCCAGGCTGTCGGGAGGTCTCGGCATTTGAGTGCTTGTCATCTTCTCAAACAGTTTTTGGTGAGTTATTTGGGAAAGTGTTTTTTTCCTGTGCCTTCTTAGAACACACCAGCTGCAGCTTACCCTGCCTGTTGGTCATGGTGGTATCCAGGTGTCTCGGGCCCCCAGGTGTAGTTTTTAAATCCCAGAGTTGGTGTGTCCAAATAAGTGACCCTTGCCTTGACTTTTTCCTAGCATTTAAGCCTTTTCCTAGCCCCTGGTTACTTCGGTGAAGGGGATGCCTCTTTTATCCTTTGATGCTGAAGCAAATAAAACATTGCCTTTTCTTCTGTAGTGGGGGTGGGGTGTGGTCTGGGTGGTTGATTGGGCAGCTTCTGTGAGGCTGGTTCTGAGTTGGTGGTGATGTTTCTTGTTGGTGAGAGTTTTCCAAAATAGCCTTTTATTTGATTTTTTTTTTAAGTAGAGTTGTCTCAAAGAATGAAAACCCAAGGTAGACTTCTTTGGAGAAACAATACTGGTACAAAATATATTTTTAAAAATGACTTTGAATTCACTTTGAATGTTTTCGAAAATGCTACCAAACACAAGTGGGGGCCAAGCACCACCCCCCCCTGCAGGCATGTGGGATGCTGTGGCAGCAGCCGGCTCCTCCTTCAGGTGGGCATGGGGGTGTGGGCCTTCCTGCCTCGGTCACCTGTCCCCTTTGGCTCCTTCCCCCTTTTTTTGACACAGGGCTTTTGGGTTGGGGTGGAGTGCAGGCTCTAGTGTGTGAGAGGCTAGGGCCTGGGGTCGTCCTGGGGTTCCAGGGACTACTGAGGTTGATGTCTGGCCCCCTTAAAGAAGCTTCTCATCTTTAAAACCCAGGGTTCATGATCACTAGGCCCCTTTTGTAAGGAAAACCCCCAAACCTGTCTGCAGCTTTGGCAGCATTTTGATGCCTGACCTGGAGAATGTTGCATATAAAAGCACTTTTTCTTTTTTCAGGTACCAATAATAAAGCTCACAGATCAGGAGACTGAAGTTAAAGTCGACATCAGCTTTAACATGGAGACTGGCGTCCGGGCAGCAGAGTTCATCAAGAATTACATGAAGGTACTGTCATGGGCATGTTGGCGCAGTGCAGTGAGGGACTTGAGGTCTTTCTTGTACTAGGTATTATTTTTCTTACAGATGGTAACAGCTTTGAACTGAATGTAGGAGTCTTTAATAATATAGACTGCACATGTAAATTATTTATCCTACTACGGTATTATTTCTAGAGAAATCACATGGCTGTTTTTCAGATTTGCTTTTCTCAAGTAGTCATTTCATCACGTTGAGAATTATGTTAGAGAGCACTGTTAAGCTGGTCTTTGCAGTTATGACGGAGAGACTTTGCATCTTGCTCAGTGTGCCTTGTTTGCCAGTTCAGTCCAGGGGTCCTTAGGAAGTTGATCAGTCCTGATGTGGTTTAGATTTGTTCACTTTGGGTGGTCTCAGGGCCTGAGGAGGGGATGAGAGACTCGGTTGAGCTGATATAACGCAGACTCTGACCAGGTGCATGGTCTGGTGAACCAGGTGGTCTTGACCTCCTGTTGCCATAGAAGCCGTGGAGTCCTTAACAGGCAGACCCACCCCTGAAGTCTGGTCCTGGTTCGGCCCATATTTTCAAGGGCTGTGCCCTTCAGGTTCCCATGTCCTCTGTTGACATCTGGTCTGGAGGGTGTCTCCCCACTGCTCTGCCCTTCCTTGTCCTCCTCACCTGCTTTGCCAGCACAGAAGGGCTGTCAGTTGCCCTGCTTAGCAAGCCATGATGATGCTCAGATGAGTGCATCATGTCTTCCCAAGTTCCTTTGTGCCTGTAGAGTGTTCGTGCTGGCCTCCCCTGCTGAATCATAACCTTGACAGGGCTCTCTGTCTGGATTTCATAAACCCCTCAGGAAGTGAATTTTTAGGCCCCCTAAAGTTTGAGAGGGATTGGCTTCGGGCCTTCAGGTGGTCAAGGAGGTCAATTAAGCGTTCTACCATGTGAAGTTTGATATGTTAAATGTCTTTAAAAGTATATTAACCAGTATATTTTTCTCTTTTGGAATTTACAGAAATATTCATTGCTGCCTTACTTGATTTTAGTATTGAAACAGTTCCTTCTGCAGAGGGACCTGAATGAAGTTTTTACAGGTGGAATTAGCTCATACAGCCTAATTTTAATGGCCATTAGCTTTCTACAGGTACGTATGCTTTCTCTCTGGAGAATGTGCCCATGAAGATGAATATCAGAGTAGATTCTTGATGTTCCAACCAATTGTTTCATGGATTTCTATTCTCCTTTCAGAATTTTGTTCTTACTTGGTAGAGGTTGACTTCTGATTTTTAGAATAAAACCCTTTTTTGATCAAGGCTCCTTTCCCATGGCTCCTATAGCTTGTTTTTGTAGCTGGTTTAGCTGTTAGAGTGGGCTGCTCATTTGGTTCTGTGGGCCCAGAGCATGTTAGTCTCAGCTCGAGAAAACTCTCCTTATATTTAGAAACATTCATTTCTTGGATAATACACATTTCTTGGTGCTTGTCTGTGATTTACATTGAAAAAAAATACGTATCTCAGAATGAAGTTGGGTGCCATTTATGAGGAAAGAATCGAAAAGAGAGCCTTCTTAGATTGATGAAAAATCAACATTTTTGTTTTAAGTTACATATAATCCTCATTTGTTGAATAATGTAATAGAAAATCTATCAGTAGAAAACCTGTCTGTTAAATGCTGTGGTGTATCAATAAGCAATACTTAGACTTTTTAAACATATAGAATAGTTTGTATGTTCATGGAAACAGTAATTTTATATTATTATTTTTTTTGAGTTGGAGTCTCACTCCGAGTTGGAGTCTCACTCACTTCAGCCCAGGCTGAAGTGCAGTGGCATACTCACTGCCATCCCAGTGTTGATTTGTTGGGCTCCAGCGATCCTTCCACCTCAGCCTTCCATGTAGCCGGGACTGTAGGCACGTTACCATGCCTGGCTAATTTTTGATGTATTGTAGAGATGAGGTTTCGCCAAGTTGCCTGGGCTGGTCTCTAACCAGCGGGCTCAGGCAGTCTACTCACCTCATCCTCCCAAAGTGCTGGGATGACAGGCTGAGCCACCGAGCCCAGCCGAAACAGTAATTATTCTATTTACATTTTCTTGAATGACAAATTCTCTTTTCCTTATGAAATCTTGCTTGTATATTTTAGCTGTACAACTATATTCCTCCACATTTACCATTAGTTTTGTGTTTGTGGTTGTGCTTAGTGAGGGTTTTTATATCCAGAATTTTATCATTTTTCATTATTATTGCTGATAGTAGAACTAATGTTTACGCACCACTTGTAATTATTGTGACTTCCTTGGCATGTCTTTGCAGAGTGCTCTAATAGTGAAAATGGAATTCCAGGTCTGTTGTCTTTTTCTTTTTTTTGAGTCAGGTTCTCACACTTTTGACCAGGCTGGAGTGCAGTGGCATGATCACAGCTCACTGCAGCCTCAACTCCCTGGGCTCAGGTGATCCTTCTGCTTCAGCCTCCCTCTAGCTGGGACTGCAGGGGCACACCATCATGTTGGCTAATCTTTTAAAATTTTTCTATAGAGATGAGGTCTCGCCATGTTGACCAGGCTGGTCTTGAACTCCTGGGCTCAGTGATCCTTCCGCCTTGTCCTCCCAAAGCATTGGGATTACAGGTGTGAGCCACCCCACCCGGTCCCAGGTCTGTTTTCTGACAGTTTTAATCGTATCATCTTGGGCTCCACTTTGCCCTCTGTGACGGGAACCTACAACTGTTCTTCCATAGTTTTTGGACATTGTTTTGAGCCTTCTGTTCTTTACTTATTTATCCTTTTACTCCAACTTGAACCGCCCCCATGGCCTTGTCATAGCAACACCTAGTCCTTACTTGGACCATGCATGTGCCGTGTGCTGGGCCTGGGCCCTGTGCCTCCTCCTGCCCTCTCAGGTCCTTACAGCAATCCTGTGACCTTAGAGGAGACGACATCAGCATGAGTAGGATTGCTGTGTCCATTCATGTCCCTGCTTCTGTGTGTGTGGCCTCTGAGTACATTTCTCAAGTGGGCCTGACCTGGTTCTAGGCAGGTTCTTGGATGTTTGATTTTTGGCTAAAAGACAAGGAAGGAGTAAGGAAGGGAAGAAAGGTGAACCCAAAATAAGAGTGCACCACTTGAATGGTGGAATATGCAAATGAGACCTCAGAAACCTGAATTCTTCTGACCCTAAGAACCCTTGGAGGCCTTAGGAGGTGGATTCTGTTGTGGAAGTCTCTGTTGTAAATGTTTGCAGTCGTTGTTTCTCCCTTCATTCTCTTGGCCTTCAAGACCTTCATTCTCTTGACCTTGGCCATCAGTTTCTAGATTAATGCTGACTGGTAGAATTTTCTGTGCAAGTGACAGTACCTTCCATCCCTGCAGTTACAGCAAGGTGGCCACGAGCCACACGTGTCTTGAGCACTTGCAGTACACCTGGTGAGAGCTACAAACTGAGTTTTTAATTACTTTGTTTTCATTTGAGTAGGAACAGTCACGTGGGGGCAGTGCATAGTCACTTGTGGACACTGAGAACTGAGTCTGAAATCAGTGGCCCTCAGGAGGTGCTGTGGACAGTGATTCTGTTCAGAGTAAACTCTGGCACCTGCATGCATAAGGTGTGGCAGTGAACCAAACTTGGGCTGACCTGTGTGACAGGCAGGGTGGAAGCTCGCTGGAAATAGCAGGACACAGCACCGGCTGCCGTGCACAGTGAAAGTGAATGGTTCCATCATCTGGTTCTGTGTGGTGCCGTGATCCTGCTTGATCTAATACTGCCCCCTGTTGGTAGTTTTCAGAATGATGTGATTCAGGTGACTGGAAGAAGCTGCGGTTGTATCCACCGCCCAGGTGAATCGGTGGTGCAGCATGCAGGTGTGAGTTTCTTTAACAGCCTGGCAGCTGTGGGTCATCAGATGCCTGTATTTCTTGGAGGTTGCCGTGTGGATCGCCAGTTTCAAAATTAAAGTGTAAGAACATTTGGATGAGGACGCCTGTTTTGAACACTCCTCATAGGCAGAGGTTGTTAGGTGCTGTTAGAGCCCTTTGCTGCTGCGTGTCCTTGTGGGGCTGGCGAGTGACTGTGGGGTGCTCAGTGAGGTGTCCTCTCAGACTGCTGGACAGCAGACTTCGTCACATGCCATTTTCAGAATGTGACTCGAATCTGTACCAATTTTGGGTGCATTGTTTTTACAGTTACATCCAAGAATCGATGCCCGGAGAGCTGATGAAAACCTTGGGATGCTTCTTGTAGAGTTTTTTGAACTGTATGGAAGGAATTTTAATTACTTGAAAACTGGTATTAGAATAAAAGAAGGAGGTGCCTATATCGCCAAAGAAGAGATCATGAAAGCCATGACCAGTGGGTACAGACCATCGATGCTGTGCATTGAGGACCCCCTGCTACCAGGTAAGGATGTCCCACTCTGCTCTGCTGGGAGCCAGGCTGGCCTTGTGGGTGCTGCCAACGGGAGAGGCCTGTTGGGGCCCTGAAGCCTGGGGCAGTTCATTTGCTCCTGATGCTAGTTCCTCCTGTACTGACAGATTAATGGTGACATTTCAGAATGCCCTATTTAATGCTTCTAATTAACTTCCTGTCCTCTAAACTTAATACATTCTGCCATCAACCAGAATTAAGAAAAATAATTTTTTTCTGATTACAAAAATGTTACATATTCACCATGAGCCATTCACTTCCCAGAATATGTAGCACAAAAAAAGATGCCAAAATCTCCTCCCTTTTGGACCTGTACTTCTCCAGGTTTTTTCTGTGTGGATATTAGTATTCATTACTGCTATCTTATTAAGCAGCATCCCACAACACAAACAAATTTGCAGCTAACAACTCTGCTTGTGGGGTATGACAGGGCTTCAGTGCTGTGAGTCTGCTTCCAGGAAATTTGTATGAGAAGACGAGAAACAATCTGGGCAGTAGCTCAACACCTGGGAGGGTTGGACAGCCGGCCACCTTTCTGTTGCAGGGAATGATGTTGGCCGGAGCTCCTATGGCGCCATGCAGGTGAAACAGGTGTTTGACTACGCCTACATTGTTCTCAGCCATGCCGTGTCACCGCTTGCGAGGTCCTATCCAAACAGAGACTCGGAAAGGTAACAGATGTTGTGTGTCTGTGGAGTGACAGTTATACTTTTCCCATGTCATTGTCTTCCATGAAATTTATTGAGGGGTGTGCTGTCATATTTCAGTAGAACTTGTTTTTGTGGCTGTCCTCTGCAGTCCAGAGTTGAACATTCTTATCCGGGGAGTCAGCATTTTCTCCAGGGTATTTTTTTGGTGGGGGAGGGGGCGATTTTTGGCTTTTTCTCCAGGCAGTCTTCAGCACAGTTGGCTTCCAAGTGATTGTGTCTGAGCTCTGCCCGCTTCTCTCGTGTACAGCTGTCCTTGATACTGAGTCTCCAGATCATGATGTTGTATGTGTGTATGTGGGCAGGGGGAGGTTCTGAGCCTGAGGTGGGAAGGAGAAGACTGCGCTCGAGGGTGGGAGCAGAGGCAGTGCCGTTAGTTCTGTTCCTGGGGGGGGCAGTGTGATGGGACCAGCAGGTCCCAAGGCTCGCAGCAGTCTGTCTGTGCTGGTGGCAGAGGAGGTCCCCAAGTTCCAGGCACTCCGTGTTCCCAGGCGCAGCTCCGGGCACTGTGGCGGTGCTCGTGGTGACTGTGTTCTCCTGCACTGTGAGAACTGGAGATGCCAGCACTTGCATGGCCAGGCCGGCTGCCTCCCCTACTTAAGGACAGAATTTGAACAGTCTCCTGAGGTGGATATAGGTTCAGGGGCTTCTGCATAAGGGAAGCCACTTTCTGTACCATGGTCTCAGGGTGCACTTGAGCTTAAATATCAGAAGTCACAGATTTTGGGGGGTTTTTGTTTGCTTTTGAGTTGGGGTCTCACTCTGTTGCCCAGACTGGAGTGCAGTGGTGTGATCATGACTCACTGCAGCCTCGAACTCCTGGGCTGAGGCAGTTCTTCCACCTCAGCCTCCCGAGTAGCTGAAACTACAAGTGTGCACCACCAGGCCTGACTGATTTTCTTATTTTTATTTTTGGAGTGATGAGGTCCTACTGTGTTGCCCAGGCTGGTCCAAAGTGCTGGCATTACAGACCTGAGCTGCGGCACCTGGCTGGTCACAGGCATTTTGTTGAAGTGTTCTAGCTCTTGGCTGTCTTTCACTTAGCAAGATGATGCGTTGTCGTAAGTATCAAGTAGCTCCTCACTTGAGTTGTGCCGCTCTGACTCCAGTTGTGTTCCTCTGCAGTACTTTAGGAAGAATCATCAAAGTAACTCAGGAAGTGATCGACTACCGGAGGTGGATCAAAGAGAAGTGGGGCGGTAAAGCCCACCCAGTGCCGGGGCTTGGTAAGAGGCCGACTTGGTCGTGTTCGCTGTGTGCATCCGATGTGTAGTACACACTGTCTCTTTGTTCTTTAATTGCCACTTATCCAAACTAAGACAGTAGCTAGCTTTTCTGAAAGTATTAATTAAAAGCTAAAGCCCTCGAGCAGCCCTGTTAGCATGTCACATGTGCAGTTTTAGGGTCTCTAGGGCTGTGTCAAAATTATGAAGAGAAGCAGGGGAAGTTAATTTAAATAATATATTTTATTCAACCTAACTCAGAATATTAACATTTTAACATGTAATCAACATACAAAGTTATTGATCTTTTGTAGCCGTTTTTTAAATAGGAAGTCTTTGAAATCCAGTGTGTGTTTATACTTTTTGCACATCCTAATTTGGATGCTAAACTTTGTCAGAAGTACTTGACCTGTACTTACATTTTGTTAAATTTACAACTGAAGATGATTTACTTTTTTATTTTTGCTTTTTGAGTCAGAGTCTCATTGTCACCCAGTCTGGAGTACAGTGGCACACTCATGGCCACTGCATCCTTGAGTTTCTGGAACAACCAGTGTGTGCCTCCATGCCTGGCTAATTTTTTTTGATTTATTGTAGAGACAAGGTCTTGCCAAGTTGCCCAGGCTGGTCTCAAATCCCCAAACTGAGGCAGTCCTCTCACCTCCGCCTCCCAAAGTGCTGGGTGATGACACGCGTGAGCCACCGTGCCCAGCTAGCTGAAGATGATTTACGTACCTAAGCTGTTACAACATACTTAATAATTTCCAATAACTGAATATACTTTTAAAAATTAAATTAATTAAAATTAAACAAAATTTAATGTACAGTGTGTCAGTCACATCAGCAGCAATGCTGTGAATGACAGCTTCCCACAGGCTCTACGCCTGCACTGCCTGGCTGTCAAGATACTAAGGCTTTGCTTTCCCTCCACAGACAACAGAATCAAGATCAAGGAGCGAATAACCACGTGCAGTGGGGAGCAGGCCCAGAACCGCGAGTCCGAGTCACCCTACGGCCAGCGCCTGGCGTTGTCCCTCTCCAGTCCCCAGCTCCTGTCCTCGGGCTCATCTGCCTCTTCCGTGTCTTCTCTTTCTGGAAGTGACGTTGTGAGTGTGCCCTGTCTGCCACCTTGTGTGTCTGTCAGGTGGTTTGCTTTTCTGGTAAATGCCCATCGTGGCGACTTAGAGTCTGTCTCCCCGTTAGTTGTGATCATGTTTTGTTTTGTGGGTTGGGAGGAGACCCAGAGTCTGCACCGGGTGGTCCCTCAAATGAACCTTGGGATTCCTGGCCTTCGTTGCCTGTGTGGCCTGCTGAGAGCATAATCCTGTTCACAGTGGAACTATGGTGGACTTGCTTGTAGTTTTTTTAAAAACCCATTTGGAGATTTAAAAAAATCTAAGTTCAGATGCCTCTCCTGTAGTTCCTTTAACATTCTTTTCCAGTGTTGAAACTCCCTGGAGGAAGTCCAAATAGCTCTGGGCTGCCTGTTGTTCAGGAGTCAGGCTTACTAACAATCTTCCGTAGCTAGCCCCCGACACAGGTGTTCCCTTTGTAGCTTTAAGGAGGCAGTGCACCTCCGGTATAGCTGCTCTTGTTATGTTTTGTGCTGGGTTCAAGGATTCGGACACGCCGCCCTGCACGACGCCCAGCGTCTACCAGTTCAGTCTACAAGCTCCCACTCCCCTGATGGCCAGCCTGCCTACCGCCTTGCCCATGCCCAGTGGCAAACCTCAGTCCACCACTTCCAGAACACTGATCATGACAACCAACAATCAGGTATGTGGCCCCTTGGTGCCCTTCCTGGTGACAGCCCCAGGAGCAGCAGCTGAGCTGTGAATGCCCTGGAGGAGATGGTGATACTTTTTAATTAGATGAACCTTTGGGTCTTTGGAGGATTAGCCACTTCAGTCTTGTTATAGGAAACTCTCTTCTTTGTGGATTGGTAGCATGTAACTCTTGTTCTATAAAAGACTGTCTTTCCCACTGTGTATGGTTTTAGTAGTGAGGCGATTATTGGTTCTTGAGAACTGCAAGGACTTTTGACAGGGGCCAAGTCGCCTTTCTGCAAGGGACCTCACTGCCCAGTGTGAGACTGCTGTCCTGGGTTGTTGTCTCAGCGGGGTCTGCTGTTGTCCACTCCACCGGTTCCTGGCAGCCATGGACACTTGGTCCTATTTCCCTCTCAGAATCTCAGTGTTTAGACTTCTAAAAACTTTTAGTATGAACTTTGTTTTCAAGTAATTAATTAGACATCATTTTTAGGGCTTTTACTGCCGCACATGAACTTGCTTGTCTTGTTATAGCTGTCACATTGGCCTTGACATCCTTGGCTGAGTCACAGAGGTGTTTTTTTTTAACCTCAGGCCTAGGCTTCCCCGAGAGTTGAGTATAGCCACTGAGCCGCAGGGTCTGAGTGATGGTTGTTATCCTGAGGACTAATTTTTGAGTCATTGTTTGGTCTTCAGTGAGACCAAACTGAAGACTGTACGACTTGGATCATTGGGCATACTTTATGTTGTAGTGGCTATATCAGAATTTCCAATTCACAGCAAAACATGGTCAGGATATAGTAAAACACAATCTACCACTCTGTTGAGCCCGTGTCAGTAGGGCTGTTGACACACAGCCCCTGCCCCTTTGTGGCGCTCAGCTTTAGGACTTGCTGGTCTGACTCGGTTGGTTTGTTACCTATGGATGTCTCTGTCGTTTTGTTCCTAGACCAGGTTTACTATACCTCCACCGACCCTAGGGGTTGCCCCTGTTCCTTGCAGACAAGCTGGCGTCGAAGGAACTGCGTCTTTGAAAGCCGTCCACCACATGTCTTCCCCGGCCATCCCCGCGGCCTCTCCCAACCCGCTGTCGAGCCCTCACCTGTATCATAAGGTACGTATGACTCAGTCCCGGCCACCGTCCATGAAACTGCCATGTGAGGGTGGTGATGAGCCTTTTCCTCTCTGCAGAGAATTCCAGAGAGGTCATTTGGAAAGGGAATCTGCTTTCTGGTCATTCATCTTCATGTTTGCTTTCCTAAGCATCTCATTCGTCTGTTGAACTGAAGTTTGCAATAAGCAAGATTCAGAATGAAATTATTTTGTTTTTCCATTTATTTGTTAAATTAGTTTATGTGCTAAGCGAATTTGGATTTAGCAAGTCTTGCCACAAAGTCCTGTGTGCTCCTGGTTCCCATCTGGCTTTGTCCCTGCCCTGGGTAGAGGGCACCAAGGTGGTAGTGGGCAGAGCCATGTGCTGGGCCAGGCAGGCCTCAGCAGACCCTGGTAATGCCTCATCCCTGCCCTCGGTGCCTTCTGAGTCCAGCTCTAGTGCACCAGATGCCACGTGGATCGAGACTCAGGTCCCTGTCAAGGCCTTGAGCTTTTTTTTTTTTTTTTTTTAGTTGGAGTCTCAATCTGTCGCCCAGACTGGAGTGCAGTGGCCGCTCCCGGCCACCGCAGCCTCGACCTGCTGGGCTCTGGCGATCCTTCCGCCTCAGCCTTCTAAGTAGCCGCCTCAGCATGCGCTACCATGCCCAGCTGATTTTTTTGATTTATTGTAGAGATGAGGTCTCGCTGCCCAGCCAGGTCTCGAACCCGTGGGCTCAGGCAGCCTTGAGCTTTTTAAGCTTGCAGGGCTATGGCAAGGGGCTTCCAGGGCAGCACCATGGTGTCTTTCGTCCCCTGGGCTCTGGTGATGTCTGCCGCATTGGTGATGCCTGCCGCGTTGTTAGTGTCCACGCCTGGTGCCCCAGTCGATTCCTCTCTTGCTTGTCTAAGCTTATTTTGCCAGAACAGGTTTTATTCTTGAGACTTGGCTCCTTGGCCCTGTATCATTCATTTCTGGCTACTTTTTTATGTAAGAGTTGAGTAGTGGGATGTTTCTTTCTTGGGTTTACCGCCCTCTTGCACTGACCACTCTGACCTGACTGAGGCATCGGAGGAGACAGCCTCGTGAGAAGGCAACCTTCACTTGCCTTTTGCCTTTCTTTCCTCAGCTACTCCTGCTGCTGTTTTGCTCTGAAGTCTTCCTGAAGCTGCTTGTGTTTTTCATGGGCTGCTTTGCCTGGGAACTTGGTGGTACAGGGCCGGGTTTGGGGGCAGCCTGAGCATAGGCCACTGCAGGTAGAGATGGACAGGCCGCCGAGAGCTAGAGTGCCAGGCCCACGATGCCTGTGACTCCCTCACGCCACTGAGGGTCACGGTGGGGGTAGGAGAGTGAGAGGGACTTCTTATTGCTGTGACTGGACAGCCCAGCTTGGACACGAGACTTTTGTTTGATCCTGGCCCATGCTGAGCGTGGGTGAGTCTCTGAGTGGGAAGCACGCTGCTTGTCTCCCATGCGAGAGTTCTGAAGTGCAGGCATGCAGGTTTCCACCATCCCTCTGCTTCCCGGACCATGGACGCTGGAGTGTGTGATGCTGAGCAGGCATGTGGGTGTCACGTGGCAGCTGCACGCACTCCTGTCTGGCTTCTCACTTTCTGCCCACGGGGCAGATGTGGTCTGTGGCCTTTGAACTCGGTTTGTTGGGCGTCACGCCGGGTACCTGCATGCGGCTCCCTCACCGTGTCCCTCTTGCTCTCTCCAGCAGCACAATGGCATGAAACTGTCCATGAAGGGCTCTCACGGCCACACCCAGGGCGGCGGCTACAGCTCTGTGGGCAGCGGTGGCGTACGGCCCCCTGTGGGCAACCGGGGGCACCACCAGTACAACCGCACCGGCTGGCGGAGGAAAAAACACACACACACGAGGGACAGCCTGCCCGTGAGTCTCAGCAGATAATGACCCCGGCTGCGCTGGCCTCCCCGCACCCTCCGCAGACTGCCCAGCGGCCTCGGGCACCGGCAGGGGAACCGAGACCAACACCCAGTGCGCCAGCCCGGGCCGCGGCCACTGCTGCTGATCACTCTGCATGTTTCTCTGTGTGGTGGTCGCGTCCATCCTAAAGAACAGCTCGTTGTGTTCATCTGTGAAGCCTTATTAAACGTGGACGTTGTTTCTGCCTTCCCAGGATTCGTCATTCAGTGCCGAAGCAGGTCGGGCTCAGGAGCTGCAGGGACGTGGACACACGCTTGCGGTCTTGCAGTAGCCGCGCTGTCCCCTAGCGGTTTGGTGTTCTCATTTCACGTCTGTTGCAGCGGCAGCGGAGACAGCCCCGCGTGTGCATCTTTCCTCCAGGATGGGCTTGGGAGGTCATCGTTTTACTGCCCTCACATTTTGTTTGAAACTTCAGGACTGTTTTTCTATGTAAATATTGAAAACTTATGATTTGTGCAATAACTCAGATATTTTTTATTTAATTTCATATTTCACATAAGTTATATTTAAGGGAGGAGGGAATTTTTTTTAAACAAGTGTAGATCCTTTCCCGAGTTGCATTTTCTAAGTTGGGTTCATCGTGTTGGCTGGTTGTCTGATGAGCATCGTTACAAACACCGTGATGAGGGGCTTGGGGTTTTATGTGGATGTCTTTTCTTTCGGTCAGATGTGAGTGGGGGTCCTGAGTGGCCCTGATGGCTCCCAAGGGGCTCATCACAGAGCCTCAGACAGCTCCCGCCACGGGCCTCAGCCATTGTCTTGCTCTGACCACCGAGTTTTAATGTTTTGGTTTTGGTTCTTTTAAACTAGACAACAAATCCAGCATTTTAAGTGCCAGAAGTATAACTTTCTAAGGGGAGAAAAGGTTGTCACATTATAAAATCTGAAAACATTGTGAACTTGGCAACAACACTTCAGTGAGTTTTAGTAACATAGCCTGTAATGATGGGTCTGGAAGATCATTACGGACCGTGGTACCCAGTTTTAGGAATGTGGAGAAAGGAATTATGTTGATTCCGTGGAGGAATCTGTAGCAGTATGCATTCGTTCTGTTAAGAGCAACCATAGGAGACGTGCTTCAGCCGCCCAGTGCGCCGGGGAGTGTCTGACGTGTCGCAGGAGAGCACAGCCCAGCGTGGGCCGGGAGCACTGGCCGACGCCGGAAGCATACAGGTATACTATGCAAGTGTATTCTGCCACAACCACCACCGTCTTTGTTACCTTTTTTTGAACAAGAATATGTCCATCCTGCCTGCCCTGAGTTTCCGGAGCACCGCAGTGGTCCTGGGAGTTGGCTGTGCCCTGCGGGCCATCTGACTTCCTGCTTTTACAGGGGGCTCCGACCCCGCCAAACACTACAGGTGGGTTGGTCTTTGAGGCCCACTAGTGGAGAGTATGGGGATGGGAGCGTGTCACCATGACGCCTTCTGGTGTGCCTGCAGCCAGGGGAGCCGTGGGCTGGCGTCGGAACGTGGCGGCCCCCAGCCAGGAGGAGGGTCTGCGGCCTGCCCTTCTGAGCAGCACCAGCCCCTCCTGCTGCAGGAGCTGCCGACTCCCGCCGCAGGCGCTCTCGGAGGCACCCAGAGTCGTAGCACGTTGTGTCTGCAGTTCTCGGTGACCGGAAGTTATCAAAAATATTTAAAAATATTTAAATTGTGAACCTATTGATAAAGAATATTTATAAACACTGAACCATAGGCCTGTACTAATCTCTACACATTAGCAATATTGACTGTAAACCTACATTAAGGAAACCACCGCGGGAGCGTCCCATGGGGTGTGCATTTTAAAGCTCAGTCATAGACGCAGGTACCATGTTCCATTTCCGTCATGGTGAACCAAATGAATTGGCCTGGCTACCACTGTGGTCGCGTGCTACAGGTTTGACAAAAAGATATCATGTTTCGATTTTTTTTCTGTGTGGACAGCAATGTGAAAGCTAAAATTGACATATTTTTATGTAAAGTTTTTCTATTCTTTGATTTTTAATAAACTTTGGAAACCAGTTTGGTGTTCGAGTTATGCTTTCCTTTCAAGTGGAAGGGTGGCATCCACATCTTGAGTTTGAATTTCTGAATTAGGATGGTGCTTTAACCAGTCATTTGCTCTAAGTAGGGTTTCAAAAAAGGCGGCTGCCAGCCTTGTAAGGAAAGTTATGGGCGGGCGATTATGTTGTCTTTGTTCATTAAGTCGGGCTGAGGCTCCAGACTTTATACAGGCAGGTCCCACTCCCTCTCTCACGTTGTGATGTCACAGGATTCAGTAGAGCCATTTAAATGATACTGTTTCTGACATCTGATAGATGATACTGTGAACTTAGACCACCCAGTGCAGCATTTCTGTTTCTGCCACATCTCTTTTAGGTCATCACTTAAAAAACAACACATCACAAACCCCGAACAATCATACTGTAGCTTAAAATGTAGTTTGGAATTGATAAGGGGATTTACGACTTCTTATGAGTCAGTGACAGGACCGTGTGTCCCAGGCTGCACAGCCCTTGGGTGTGTGTCCTAGAACCATGAGCCCGAAAGCCTTGCATGTCATAGAGGTGGGCATCCTGGGTGAGACCTGGAGGGCATGGCAGCCTGTCCTCAGTCCCTCGACCCCAACAGGTGCAGGAGCCCCGGGAGCGCCACGTGATATGTGGGGGAGGGAGACACAGAAGGTGGGGCCATGGGGTCAGGAAAGGCCTCTCCCAGGGCAGTGGGGCTCTAGTGGACACGGGCAGTGGCAGGCAGCTGCGTGACCAGGTGCAGTGGTCCCCTGACCAGGGCAGGTGTAGAAGTTGGCGAGAGGTGAGCTGGTTGTGGAGACTGACTGAGGAACCTGGGCTTAGGAGCAAGGGAATGTCTTAAGTTCCTGTGGTTGTTGGAGAGTGGGCTGAGAACGAGACTGGGGTACATGTGGCACTGGCGGGGTGAGACGTGGCCCACGTGGGATCCATATTGGAGACAGGATTGGCCAGGGCCATGAGGGACAGAGGTTTTTCCTGGGTTTTTCTGAATGGCGATGCCATCTACAGGAAGGCCTCCCGGGGGCACCCAGAGGTGCCACTAGAGTGGCCCCTTCCCAATGGGGCTTGGAGACATTAGACACTGTGAGGGCACCTGAGATGTCACACGGGTCCTGCTGTCCCAGAAAACTTGGAAAGGAATAGCAGGGCTAAGAGAGAGGTGGCCCTGTCCCTGTGCTCTCCAGGGATACTCCGAGCAGCATCAGGACCACAATGGCCTCAGCTTCACCGTCGGCAATGCCACCATGTCACGGCAAGCCCCATTGGCTCAGTCCTGTGATGACAGGTAAACTCTCACCTTCCAAAACTTCCTTGAGATTGCCACACCTTTACCCCCCTGGAAGATGCCCAGTGTGCAGGGCTTAGTCACCGAGACTTGCACATGGAGGTGGGGACATTTGTGATTCAGTCATGCCTGGAGACACGGATCGGTTCATTTGGCTGGTTGGGTTTTACTTTGTCCTGTTTTTAGAGCCTCGCTCTGTCACCCAGGCTGGGGTGCAGTGGTGTGATCACAGCTCAGCTCAGCCTTGAACTCCTGGACTCAAGCTATCCTCATGTCTTAGCTTCCTAAGTAGCTGGGACTACAGGTGCGTGCCTGCACACCTGGCTAATGTTTATTTTACTTTTTTTAGAGATAGGGTCTCGCTGAGTTGCCCAGGCTATGGTTTTGTTTTAGTCACATCACTCTATGATGATCTAACCTAAACATGGAACAGTGTGTTGTTTACTCTCGTGATGTCTCTCAAAGTTCTTGCCAATCCTTAGATGACTTGGGTGACCCAGAGCAGCTGGTTTAGAACGGATAGTGGCTAAGTACAGACACACACATCCCACACACCCCAACCTGGGAGTTATCTTCATTGTTAAGAATGGCTCGGGCTGAGCATGGTGGGTCACGCCTGTAATCCCAGCAGTTTGGGGGGCCGAGGTGGGAGGATGGCTTGAGCCTAGAAGTTAGAGACCAACCTGGGCAACATAGCAAGAGCTTGTCTCTACAAAAAAATCCATAAATTAGCTGGGCATGGTGGCACATGCCTGTAGTCATAACTACTCGAGAGGCTGGGGCAGAAGGGTCACCTGAGCCCAGGAAGTCGAGGCTACAGTGATCCATGATTCCTTACGGCTTTCTAGCCTGGACAACAGTGAGACCCCAACTCTAAAAAAACAAAAGGACTCAAAAACATGTTTATTGTATTGTGTCTCGACATCTCTGAGGGGGAGGGGAAGTTTGGAAGGTGTTGATCCCCACTAGCCCTGGTTGCAGGGGGCCCCCAGTGAACCCCCTGCTGGTGTCAATCATGTGGCATCTCACCATGTGACTTGGGCCTAGAGAAGTGCAGTAATGCCCTTGGAGGCCTCGAAGTGAACCCCCGGCAAGACCATGAGATGGAGTCTTGGATGGGCCCTGAGTTGAAGCACAGGAATGTGGGTGGGTGCTTGGGGAGGCCGAGTCCTGTCTCCATGAGGCTCTTGACTGTGGGCTGTGGGTATCAGTGGCTCCTCTCAGCCGGCATGGAGGGGTTGCCTCTGCCCAGGCCTCTGAGACACAATGATTGCAATGATTGCAGCTCCAGCCATGCTTGCCGACATGACGAGGTACCAGGGGGTGGTTCACATCTGTAGTAAGAACTATCTTCTCAAGACAGATAGTCTTGCCTGTGTGTATCTCACCACGTGCTGAGGAGTTTGCAGTACCAGACGCTGGCAGCTGGGGCTGAATCCTGCTGCTCAACAGACACGAAAGCGCCGCCATCCTCCAACGTGACCGTCAGATAATCTTCCATTTGGGAAGAGTCTTAGGATCCACTGCTCGGCCCTGAAGATGAGAAACTTCCCCACGACGAGAAGTGGCTTCCCAAGGCCACACGGCAAGCCTCCACGGAGCCCCAATCCTGTCCCCGCTGGGCAAAGGCCTGTAGTGCCTTCTTGTTCTCTGATGCTGCCAGGAGAAATAGCTGAGTTCAGGCTGGAAACATTTGTTCGACTCTGGTACCGAGCCCCACCAGCTTCTGCAGACGTGACCTTTGCGCTTGGCTCATGGCATGTGGCCCCTGCCCAGGGATATACAGTGAAGGTCAACTTCACATCCAGCCAGGGGAGTGTTTGAAGCAGTTATGAGGAAACCCCTTGTGCCTACGGGACACTGGGGACTCCTGACTGGACTTGGTTTTCACAGCCAGTGTTAAGATCCCAAGCACATGGTTTCTGGAAGCGTCTGCCTCGACTGCTGAACATGCGTTCTGATAGCAGCCTCTGCTCCTCACCTGTCTCACCAGCCAGTTCTCTGACTTTACAGGGTCATGCTGTCCTGCCTCCCTGTGCCCCCTTCGCTACATCTCCACTCTCACTGGGCTCTGTGGCCCCTGCTTCAAGGCCATGCAGGCCCATTCAGTGAGATCGCCACCTCACTGTCTTCCAGTTGCATCCTCCTGGCAAAACCCAGCTTTGGATTCCTGCTGCCACTGGCTGCCTCAGCCCTGCACCCAGGCTAAAGAACGCTGCAGAGTTCAGCCAAGGGGGTGCAGATGAGTCAACTGAGGCAGAGAACTATTGCAGAAGGCCCATAAGTGGTGGACGGGAGGAGGGAGTCCATCTCCTCTGGGCCCTCCTGCATTTCCTTCTGCACGCCTGCTCCTTTCCAGGAGTTCCCACTTAGTCCACACTCGCCCCCAGCCCCTGCACCCCCTGGAGAAGGCCTTGCCTTCCTTTTCAGAAAGCTCCTACCCTGTGTGACCACCTCTCTGGCCTGCTGACACCCCGTCCTCCCTCTTTACGCTGGCGAGTTGGGCTTCCTGCTTTGCAGGGACAGGGACTCTCTTATCTGGGGACCGGCTCGTCCTGGTTATCTGTCCTGCTGGCCCTTCACCTCACCTAGCTTTTCCCTCCTGCAGAGCCTGTCTCCTTCCGAGGCCTCCACCTCTGCCTCCCTCAAGCCGATTGCCTACGCTGGTTGTCTACACTGGCTTCCTCTCCCTCCTGCTCCCCACAGTGCCGAAGCTCGCCAGACTTTGCTTTCTGTTCCTATCCTGCCCCCCAAGGCTGGGCCTGCCCTGTGCGTGCTAAAGCCCTGAGGCCAGCTCAGCCCCTCTTTGGGTGGCTCCACACGGCTCCGCACTGGAAACCCCCTCCTCTGGCTTTGCCACTGGTTTTTTTCTTTTCTTTTTTGAGTTGGAGTCTCACTTAGTTGCCCAGGCTAGAGTACAGTGGCACACTCACTGGCCACCCTAGCGTTGACCTGCTAGGCTCTGGCGATCCTTCCACCTCTGCCTAACAAGTAGCCAGAACTACAGGCATGCGCTACCACACCCGGCTAGTTTTTGATTTATTGTAGAGATGAGGTCTCGCCAAGTTGCCCAGGCTGTTCTCGAACCCACGGGCTCAGGCAATCCCTTCACCTCAGCCTCCCACAGTGTTGAGATTGTAGGCTGAGCCACTGAGCCTGGCCCCCTGATTTTTTTCTTGCTGCTCCAGCTGGATTCTTCAGGAGCGTCTCGGGCCTGGGCCTGTCTACTGAGCCCCACGCACTAGATGTGTCTCTGTGGAGGTGTCCCAGGTCCCAACCACAGTGAGCCCCCAGCCAAACTCCTCTCCTCTCCTTCCCCCGCCTGGCACCCTACCTGGTCAGGCAGCAGATCCTGGAGCATCTGAGCATCTTTCTGGTCAACTCCTCCTGTGCCTCCTGTCTCCCCCTAAATATGCTGACTGCTTCTTAGTAGCTAGAATTCACTCTTCTTCATTCTGACCACCCTGTGTTTGTCCTCCCTGTCCTCACGACTCTCCCACACTCCATGATGTCTCCTAGCCAGCCTTCACTCTGCTCTTGACTCCCTGCTGTACGGACCACTAATGGCTTTCTCTTAAAAATGTAGCTGCAGCCGGGTTCGGTGGCTCAGCCTGTAATCCCGCGCCTTTGGGAGGCTGAGGTGAGTGGATTGCCTGAGCCCACGGGTTCGAGACCCGCCTGGGCAGCGAGACCTCATCTCTACA